AGGGCGATCAGATATGAACTATCTCTATTCACCAATTAGGGGGGGCTAAGCCTTCCCGAGGCTCTTATACGCGCTGCCTCCGTAGAACTGGTCTGACAATACTAGTTTGACCGGGTTGAAAGGTCAATTATTTCGAAATGTTTAAGATAAAAATCTCATGTGGCAATAAGACCTTGTTAACCTTTCAGCCTTTTGGTTTTTCAACAACCAGTCAATTGAAAATGTGGTTAGCGTGCAGAACTATGGACCTGTGAGGCCTTCGTTCGTGGGTGCGTTATAAGAGTAACGGTCCAGTTCCACTATTCGGTCAGACAAGAGTAGCCCAGGAGTTGGCGGTGGGTACTGCTCACGATTTGCCTTTCCTCTAGCCTTGCACAAATATCCGAAGTGAAAATGTGAAGAATTTCGAAGTCGTTAATCTCCAAATCAGAGACTTCTTCATATTCCATTCACTACCCCTGGGTGTCCACGTTTGTTTGTTTGTTTGTAATTAAGCACAAAGCTACACAATGGGCTATCTGTGCACTGCCCACCACGGGTATCGTAACCCGGATTCTATCGTTGTAAGTCCGCAGACGTGCCGCTGTGCCACTGGGGGGCGGTGTCCACGTTCTGCATCATAGTGAGTTGAGCCGTTTAATGTTACAACATTCACTGTCAAGAACAATTACCTGAAATCAATCCATATGGACATACATACAAGATCTTAGCAGTAATTATAAGGATTAATTTATCTATTGAACTTCGCGAGGTCTACCTGTGACAGAAGACCTTAATTTAAACCTAGAGAACACCACCCACCGCCAACTCTTGTGCCAGCCTATGCAAATAGTAGGATTAACCAGCACATTATAACGTACCAAGGGCTGAAAGAGCGATCACGTTCAGTGAAAAGATTTGAACTCACGACCCAAAGAGCACTCCTAACCCTAGTGGAATTAATTAGTAAAGGTTGTAATTAATTCCACTAGGGTTAGGGGTAAAGGTTGTAATTAATTCCACTAGGGTTAGGGGTAAAGGTTGAATAAACTGACTTTTGTTCGACAATGGGACGCGAACCATGCACCCTTGAGATTCAAAAGTCCGGACACGTCCCTGGCCACGCCCGGTTCAGTTATTAAAGGAACGGGGTTTCTTTACTTTTGTTGGTGTAAAATGGTTCATGTTTGTTTGTTTTTTTGCCAGGATGTGTTTAACGTTTATAAAGTAACTTCAACAACAGCATTTCCCAAACTGGAGGCCGCGAGTCATGTCCGAAAGTTCATGAAAAAATATGATTAAAAAAAAAGCATTTTTTAGTAAAACTAAATCAACACGAATTAAAACACGTAATTTTGGAATACAGTTTTTCGTATACACGATCATTATCATTAATAGTACAAAACAAAAATCACCGATAGGTTTGGGGTCCGCGAATTTTATTTTATTTTTTCAATTAAAAGGGGTCTTCGGGTTATTAAAGTTTGATCTGCACTGTGCATGACTAAGTAGGTGCATTTGTATGGTATGCTGATACATCTTAAAAATAAGTAAAAATGCTTTTCAATAAAATTGTAAAAACTCGAAGAACTTACCTCATCGGAAAGATGTTGATATTTTTCCGAAAGTTTCTGGGTGTAACTTCTCAGATCTGCGATCTCCGTCTGGAGTTGCTCTACGGACGCTGTATTCTTCTCGTGGACAGTTTGAAGAGATTCCGTTTTTTTTTGAAGAGCGTCATAATCGGATCTGAGTAGTGCCACGGTTGTTTCGAATGTCTGCCAACGACTGAACGACACAGAGATATTAAGAGACGCGGCCAGCTCTCTCATCTCTGCCCGGAGCTGTTCTACGGTCTTCTGCAGCCACTTGTTAGTTTCTTGGTTCACTCGGAGGGGAGCCCGGTCCTGTTCTCTGTCGGCTCGCAAACTCTCCAAATCTTGCTGGAGTCGGCGAATCTCTGTCCGCAGAAGTTCTGTCTCCAGCCTCAAATCTCCGGCTTCTTCTGTGACTCCAACTTCTCTCTCTTTGACCGCGACCACGTCTGCCAGGTCTTGTTGAAGCTGTCGCAACTGACCTTCTAACTTCCTGAAAACTCGATGTTCTCTTTCGAGGTTACGCACTGTCTCACGTCTGTGACTAGGCATAACACGGCGCTGTTGAAAAAGCCTGCGTTTTTCATTAAATCGACCATTTGATAACGTAACGGATGGTTTTGTGGGAGCTTCCAATATTTCGGGATTTGAGGACTCAAAATTTAGAATTGAAGAGGTAGTCAGGGGCGAAGTTTCGGAGATATCTAGTTGACCTACACGTTCCTCTAATCTTTTAATGATAATTTGGTCTTGATGGCGCGACTCGCACAAAGTCTCTACTTCCGATTGTAGTTGTGTTAAGACGTCGGTGAGACTTGTCAGGTCAGTTGGCATTTGAGTGTTTGAAGAACAAGAAATGACTTGGAAGAGTATGCAGACACTTGCCAGCGTTTTAGTTAAATACATTGCCAGACTGTTGAAGTTGAATGATTTGATTTTATTGTTCTACATAAAAACTTACCTGATTAATTAAAATCATTACATTAAGTTGTACTAATTTCTTGCTCTTATAAACCCCTAAATAATTTTTGCTGAATCCTTCTGGAATCCTCGCGTGGTTGTAAGCTCGTGAAAACTTAGCCTAACTGCCAAACTCGAGCAATGACGATACGCGAGGCAAGACAGACCGTAAAACTAGAAGGTTCACCTAAGGGCTAGAAGAAATACTAGGCACATCTGCCGAAGGGCGAGCAAACACCCTACTTTTGAATAAGGTTCTCCCCGTATGATAGCAGCTGCTCAGCGCCCTCCTCGGTACTAGTCGTATGCGCATGCGTTCGTTACGAAAGTTTTTATTCATTTTCGTTGCATCTCTCAAGTCGCTCTTTGTCACGTATGACCGAAACAACTTGTTTTAATTATTTAAAATATGAGTGTGCTTAAGTTTGTGTTCTAATCAGGAGGGAAGGGGGGATGTTAAGTCATCTGCGTTACACTTAATATATTATTTGATTGTTTTTTATTCAACTTGAAGTTGTTTTCTTACTGCAAAGCTCTACAACATTAGTTATGTACACTCTTTCCACCGCGGGAAATCGAACCCCGATTTTTAGCGTTGTAAGTTAATAAACTTATCGTTGGCAAACTATGGAGGGAGGGAGGCTAAAATTGAAGTAATCCGGTGCTAATGTTTCGAGTAATTACTCTCTTTGAGGTTGAGGTAACTTCGAGACCTGAATATAATGAGTGTTTGATGGTAGTATTTACTGCCCACGCCTTAGATTCACGCAAGAAATGTAGTAAATACTTATCTCGTGACTGTTATACTCACTCTTGAATTACAAATTTGGTGAGGTAATATTCGAAATTTTATATTAACAAATTATTACCTCTCTCATCTCACACCTCAAGATTACTCTGACACGCCATGATAATTTTAATTTTATTTCATTATTTTATGGTTGATACCTATAACCATTTTTCTCTATTTCTCGTGATATTAGAAGTTAGCTAATTGAACAATCAATATTTTGGAGTTACCGATGAGGTCCATATGGACCCCCATTGTGTTTTTAAGCACGTTTTTTTCTAAACTTTTCACCCACCAAATTGATTGTGTATCCAGGACTTAATTAATCACAGAAGAAAAAACAAAAAATACCTTTAAAACTGGAATCCTTCCACGTTTTTGATCACCTATATCTTATTTTCTTATACATTCGACCGCCGTTAGGTATTTGTATCTGAATGTTGAATAATACCCTAAGATTGACCTTTGGCCTGAACTAAAGTGACCGCTCACACACTCTGACCGTTATCGATTTTGCTGTGGAGCGTTGAACAAAACGTGTTATAAAATTGGCCCAAAAAATGAAATTTGGTTAATTTGGGGTTGGGATTTTGAAACGCTAACGTATTACGTTTGTTTGTTGTTGTTTTTTTCGAAAAGTATTAACTTATACAAGGAAATATGACGTCATTGGAAACTAAACATGCGCTAGGAAATATGATGGTATTAAAAAATAAAGACTCAACATTGGAGGGAGCTTTGTGACAGTGTCCGTATTCTTATTAAGAGTTGTGAATTTTAAGTTTTACGAAAGTTTCGAACTTCTTCAAGCTACACGAGGGCTGTGTGGAGCAGTTCGTAATTGTGAAGTAACACACGAGGGCTGTGTGTAGCAGTTCGTAATTTTGAAGTAACACACGAGGGCCGTGTGTAGCTAGTTTCAGCCTATCTTGTGTGATCGAATCGTTGGATTTTATTATCACGAGCATAAATAAGAACTGCATAATTTAAAGTGTGGTAGCTTAGTTGGTTCAAACCAAAGCTGAGAACTGCATAATTTAAAGTGTGGTAGCTTAGTTGGTTCAAACCAAAGTTGAGAACTGCATAATTTAAAGTGTGGTAGCTTAGTTGGTTCAAACCAAAGTTGAGAACTGCATAATTTAAAGTGTGGTAGCTTAGTTGGTTAAAGCTGCAGTAACCAACTTGGTTGAGTTGTTAAAAAGTGCACTATTAACAGTAATTAGGGAGTTAAAGTGCCTTAGTAACCGTAACTAGGGGGTTACATTACCTTATTATAACTAACTAGAAAGTTTCAGTGCGTCATTAGGAGTAATTAGTGGGTTACAGTGACGTAATAGCAGTAAGTGGGGAGTTAGTGTCCTATTAGCAGTAATTAGGGGGTTACAGTGACTTACGAGCAGTAAATGGAATTGAACCTTTAATTCGGATAGCAAAAGCGCTTGCTTAGCTTATGGGGGCGGGGGTTTACCAGATTTCACCCCACGAGATTTTTTACCCTTGTACGTGTCGAGACATATTTCGTCATGTTAGTAATGCAACGCTCTCACTACGTTGTCATATGCCACAGACGTAGCGTGATAAGTGTGTATAACTGTTACCTTAGTTACAAAGGAATCACGAGATGGAGAGCTTCCTGTGGCGCTACCAACATGGGGCGTTTTACACACGTGTCCCAGTCAGTAGGGTACGGCAGCTAAACGGGCAAATGTGACGTCCGTTTTTTCCTTGTTATTGGTCTAAGACTGATCATTTCTGAGCTGAAGGCGGTTAAAATCATGTTGATCGTAGAAATCTGGGTTGGCCTAAAAGCGCAGTGTTTATACTATCAAAAATAAACTTTTTGCTGGCTGTCTTTACGTACGTATGTTCAAACATTATGAGCTTGTTATACTTTTGTAGAGTTACAATATTAGAATACTAATTATTTCCAGTAACGTTCTCTACCTCTATCATTACTCTTCTTAACTGTAGGTGTGCTTTTCATCGAGGCTGTAGTGTCTCTGAGTGAAGTAAATAAGTACACATTCTTTCCCCCACGCTTCAACTTCAAGTAGTGTACAGTTTTTAACGTCATCACAACATACTGTGATTAACTCCGATATTTCTGTTGAGGCTTTGGTTTGAACCAACTAAGCTACCACACTTTAAATTATGCAGTTCTCGGCTTTGGTTTGAACCAACTAAGCTACCACACTTTAAATTATGCAGTTCTCAGCTTTGGTTTGAACCAACTAAGCTACCACACTTTCAATGGCGCAGTGCTCAGCTCTGGTTTGTGTATCTTTCAGCAATCGGCTTGAAAAGGTCGGGACCCTCTTACTGTTTTTGTGGTAGGAAATTCTGAATTCAATATTGGACAACGGATAAGTAAGAAGTTTTAATCATGTTGACAAATGAAATCAGCAAAATTTGAAGTCAACGGCGTTGTCTCTGATCGCGAATAACTGAGAGATCGAAAAAACCCTTAACACTCGTGTAAATATTAATACAGCACAAGACTGGGCATACTGTGGCACGAGTAAGCAGATGGTACATCAAGATGGACATGAGAAAGAAATACTGGCGGGATTTAATCATCTCTATTCCCTCTCATGGTGGTTGTTTACTTCCCAACAGCCGGCTTTCCTTTTTATCTCGGGTCATGGAAGGAGGCAGCTGAGGCAATGGGGAAACAAACAAGGTTTAAAGACCTTTACTTGCACATCGTGTCCGTTATGAAATACCCCAGTCAAAATAACGGGATT